AAATCAATGATTCCCACATTTAAAGCAACTTCTGCAAATTTTTCTCGAGTTTGTCTCTACCGTCCCACCACCATCAATCATCTCTAATATATCATACGTACGTATCTCTAGTTGCTACTTTCAATTTTGATGGGTGTAGAAATGGAGGCCATGTGACTACGAGTGGAGAGCCTGTCTACGGGTAAGTTAAGGTTGCTGCGAACTTACATGCTCGAATACTCTCTATAGTAGTTCAGCTACTTCTATGCCAATTCCTCTCGTCATGATACATTCCAGGTTCCACCACAACCGTTTGAAACACTTCTTATGACCGCCAAGTAGCTGGTTAGGCGAAAATCTCATCAACATTCTTACACTAAATACTGTATGTTCGTTCCTTACTCGCTCCCTTATCATTGACATTTTTGAAACAAAACGTCGTCGATCGTTTCCTTTAAGCTTTGCAACACCACCACCAACTGAAACATTGACAAACTCAACAAACACAAAGAAAAAAAAAACAGGGACTTGGATTCCACGTGAGTCTCGCATCCGAGTTAACTGTTTCCCTTTTCTGACTAAACTTTTTCCTTATTTTTTTAGTGTTGTTGTCGTAGCGTATGGGACCTACATCTGCATTTTTATTTTCAATTTCATTAAAGTCACCCGAGTCTCCCTCGGCCAGGTACAGTTCTTCAGGCTCTTCACGTTGTTCATGGGATAGGCTAATCGGTCGCAGGCTCGATGAAAATTTAACAAAAAAAATCACATATCTTTCACTCAAAACATCCATGAAAAGAAAAGAAAAATCGAAGGTGGAATAGACCAGAATTTCGAGATCCTAGGGAAGATGGCTTCAAATTGAACTTTGTTCGTCTTGATCGATACTGATTCAAGATCGCCCAAGTTAGTTCGCCAATACACGATATCCACACAAACGCGTAAGGATAAGGTCGATTCTCACCACGGTGTGTTCATAGACATATAACAATCTTGCAAACAGGTTTTTTTTTGCTGATTCGTGCATAATGAAACAGAACATTGTCTCTGAAAACGCGGCCAGCTGAATACTTACCTGTGAGTAGTTGAACTCGACTATTTCTATTTAATTTAAGAAATCTATGGCTTATGTTGTTCGAATACAGCAAGCAGCCTGAGCAAGTATGGCCAAAGGAGTATTATTATCCGGGTATGACATTAGCTAAAAAAAATACATTCTCTATGTCCACAACCATTGCATTAGTGGACTCTGGTGTACTATCAATATCAACGAGCTTGTTTGTACTTAAGTAGATGAATCCATACGGTTGTAGTACGATGAGGATGATATCAATATCATCTTATACAGTTTTTTTCTCAAAATTTAACAGTTTACATTGTCCGCGTTTGGAGATGGGATGGCTCAAAGATTCCTAAATTTGTCCATAGACGGCCTTCGGCCTCACAGACTTCAAATTTGTCCGTACACTGGATGGGTCAGATTCACATTTTCGCCCAAAATTGACCTTACGGCACGACGGGTTCTCGTACCAATCCCACCTAATTTCATCCATAGACGATCCTCCTTCAATGCCTTGTATAACATCTATGGACTCTACCGTCAGAAGCGTCGGTGCACGTGTTCGAGCTTTGAAGCGGTGAACAAATGACAGGAAATGAGATAGAAAGTAAGGGAGTGTCTTAGGAACCGTGATTGTGTGATGAACCAACGTGGGATTATGATGCCTCGCTACTCAGTAATGTACAAAACATTCAGTACTACTGGCACCTTGCCCGGGGTTTATCCCAATGGAATTAGTGATCCGAGAGGTCATGTGGGCCGACAGTTCAAGTCACCGAAGTCAGCGAGGAACATGGACACCTGCCGCAATGTCGAAATGTCCTTGATACCGACAGATTCTACTTCATCGAATACAGGGAGTGACGTTGGCAGTTGGTACACACGTGATCGACGATTTTTCTGTCCATATGAATTCTGAAGGTGTCAACCACAAACCTGGTTGGTTCAGGGAGGTTGCCTTTTCAGGAACATCGGTGCATCTGCGGTCTTTTCCGGAAGGTGAATTGTCTCGGTTTTTTGTGAAAAGTCATCTTGTTCGTCATCAACAGTTGATCTACTTACGATGAATGCAAGTTCCATACGACGCAGCACTTTGTTCACGCGTTGTGGTGCATCGATCCATGGAACAAGCAATCTGAAGCATTTCTGGTGTTCATTCATTTTCATTCACATAAAGACCTGAGTGACTGATGGCACGGTGAGCAAAGTTCGACACGTCTCTCTCGCCCTTTCTGACGGAACTCTAGGATGATTATCTTTGTGTGTAGACTCAAGGGATATCTTTGTGTGGGACATCTTTCATGGACGTCCCATTTCGGACGTATTTGCATGCGGAATATTGAAACCTCGCGGGAGGATGAGGTATATAGCAGTTCATAATTCCAGCTGCGATGTTTTCCGTCGTGTCACAAACGGAGATGGCATTTCCATCTATTCACGCGGTCGAAACAGGGAACGGTCGCTCGCGTAAAGAAAAGTCGACTCGGCTTCTTCTTCAAGACCTTCTCTGTCAAGCAGAGATTTACGGGGTCGTCGTCTCCTCACCATGCCTTCGATTTCGCCCAACTGAGTTCCTCTTTCGGAGGGAGCACTCCCCTCTTGACTCCATCTTATATAGCTCCCTCTCGTCCTCTTCTCGCCGTTCTTTTCCTCATCTCGCTCGACGAGTCATTCGCCCCGCTTTCGTCTTCCTCATCACTCTCACCCGCAGCGAACATGGTCAATTGGGTTTCTCCAGCGGAGATCGCCAAAGATGGACGTAAGTATCCGTCGTCGCTCGTGCACCCTCGAGGACGATGGTTCTAACTGACTTTTACGTTTTTGCCGTTGTCCAGTATCCTTTGACAGGCTTATGCATGCCTTGCTTGGATTGTACATGTGAGCGTGTTTTTCTTGAGCCCGTGTTCGCCCTGGTTGAACTCACTTCTTCTTCTTTATAAAGTTGGGAATTCATGACGTCTCTCGATTTCGACTGGGACTTCATCTCTGGAAAGAAGAAATTTCGTTGGCCAATGGTGCGTTAAAGCATTAGTTTTACCCGCATATATGCGCCTAAACTAACGGGTCTTCTAGGTCTTTTATTTCGCGGGTCGTTATTTCCTGCTGTTCGCACTTATAGGCATGTGAGTACACCGGCTCGAGTATCCGCAAGACAATAGATGTTGAGTTTGATGTCCGAACAGCGCGATTGCATTGAATGTCACCGAGTAAGTTCTTATTGTCTAGGCCGTTTGTGCTAGGTTCTAATCTCAACTACGCAGGGAAGTGAACTGCCAAGCGCTGTATACCTACAACCAGGTCTTCGGAAACGCATCTATTGGTCTGGCCAGTATTAATCTGTCACTGAGAACGTCAGTCATCTCCTTCCGATCTAGTGCAATGACTTTCACTTTCTTTTGAACTAACCGCGCATATAGGATGGCGGTCTGGTCACAATCCAAAGTTGTTGTCATCCCACTAATTTTGATCATCATGGGACATTGGTCTCTCCTACTCCATGGTAATATTCAGTCTTTACCGACCAAACCAGCATTCACTCATATGTATCCTCTCAGGTGTCCTATTGAAGGCGACCTGGCTCGATGGAGCTTGCGTTATCACAAATACAGATAACAAGATCCTGGCAGGAAGCTTCATTTATTCAATGGCTTTCGACTTTGTCGTTCTGATTCTCACCGCGGCTAAACTTGCCTTCCCAACCAAGAAGTCTCAACGATCCCGACTGACGACATTGATATTCGGAGATGGACTGATCTTTTTCATCATCGCATTCTTGGCCAATCTCCTCGCCACGGTGAATACCCCCTGTTTTCTTGGTCAACCTTGACTGACATTAACCTGATTTGCCCAGACATTCATGTTAGTGAATCTTAACCCTGTAATGTCGATCGTCGCAAACGTTCCTGCAGCTATCGCTTCAACGGTACGTTAGTTGAATGGTATGTCGAAAGGTATTACAGGAATTCTAAGTTGCTTCTTCTTCGGATCGGTAGATTGTGGCTTGTCGGGCCGTTCGTCGTCTCACAAACTACCAGTCACCTGGTGCAGAAGTCTTCGCGTACGTCACTCCATCCTACACAATCTATGACCACTTTCGTTGACATGTAATAGTTCGACCCAAGCTTCTACGCTCGCATTCACCCGCAGCGGACGCTCTCGTCTGACCAGTGCGCCAACATTCTCCGTTGATAAGAAACTTGACGGTGTTCATGTGCAGGTAGCTAAAACACCATGTGTCTTCTTAGTGGCTGAACTGATGAATGTCGTGCGCCGTCGTCAGATGGACACCTTCCAACAGGTTTCTGAAGATCCATCGGACAAGTCCTTTGTCCAATATGATGGGGCTGGCCGAGTAGTGTCACCGTCCTATGATGCAGAAGCTCAAGCGATAGACGACGATTTCAAGAAGCCCGGTGAAGATTACTTTGCTTCTCATTGAGGCTTTCATCCGCACTACCCACTGTCCTACTGATTTATTTCATACCACTCTGCGATATCACCCTCCTGCCGTGTTCCCCACGCTCATTTCGAACGACCGGCCATTCCTTTAGTACCTTCTTTCCTGTTGGGGTCTCCTGTCTCTCTGTCAGAGAGAAACTTGCATTCTTCTGGTTATTTTGTTGCATCGTTGTCTCTCATTTCATCCAACGCATCATCCAGATGCTTGCATTCCTTCACGCACTTTACATACTTTGCAAATTATGCCACTTTCTTGATGGTTAATGTGATCTGTTTACGTTACCCGCGTTATACTCTTTTTTTTTGCAATCGTGTATTATTTAGCTAGCTCTGAAAAACGTATCTGTATTCCTTATTCCTAAAGTTATATGATAGCTTTGACAACTCATTTTCTTGGTCTCATTCTACCTGCAAGCCGTAGGCCAGAGCCAAAACGATTTGCGATGATACTGCACACTGTTCATCAAGTAAATAACAAAAACATTTTCGTCAATACAAAAGATGACCTCTACCCGGATTGAACGGATGACCTTGTGGAACCACCATCTCCGAGTTTTTGACTGGAAACTGGAATCACACGCTCTACCACTGAGCTAAGAAGTCTTATCAAATTGCCAACGAGGTTCAATTTCGACGGTGAGTTTGAACTCCCGAGTCTGCGAGGAATAGTTTGCCAGTTGGAAGAAAATGTTGGGGGATTCTGTTGTTTAATATTGTTATTGTTGTGATTTATACCCACTCGTATGGACTCAAATAATAAGCATGCTGCGTTGTATGTATTAGTTAGATTATGTACTCTATACATATAACCAAGACTTCTTAGCTCAGTGGTAGAGCGTGTGATTCCAGTTTACATTAGACCGATGTAATCGTGGTTCCACAAGGTCATCCGTTCAATCCGGGTAGAGGTCATGTAGTGTGAGAAAAGATTTCCTTTTTTTTGTGTGTGCTTTGGATTTATCATTTCTTAGATTCACCGTATCTACTGGGAAACATATACAGAAGAGGGGATTTAAAAAACAGTGCAATATATATATATATATATATATTTACAACCTGTTGACGATTGAAGAACCCTCCTCCTCCTCCTCAAGTCTTAGACTGGTGTCAGAAACCTCATCGAATACGGAATATGAAAAATAATCCCCCAATCCTTCCTTCCTTCAATCACCTCAAAAAGTCTTTGAAACTTTGGTCCTCTATTCAAACCCATCTCTAGATTCTCCACAAACAAAGGCTGAATACTACGTTCGAACCATTCCAAATTGACCGTATCAGGATTCTCCACCACACATTCGAGGACCCCTTCTTCTTCAACTCCCCCGTTTTCCGAGTTTTCCGAGTTTTGGTTTTGATTTTGGTACTTTGAGACGTAGTATATCTGTAATCGAAACGTTTCAAGAGGTTTCAAACGACCCAATTGAACTCTTGAAGAAAGAGTTGATTGAATCATTGTCAAGTACTTTTTTGAAAGTACGAAGTCGTGGAGATGTAAGAGTCGGAGATTTGGAAGTGAAGTAGGAACCCTAACCACTGTCGCAGCAGAGTTTGTCAACGTCGATGATGATGATGATAATGGTTCGATTTGAAGACCATCCAGTGTATCTGTGGAGAAAGTGGAGAAAGTTGAAACCGGCGAGAGAACTTCTAAAAAATCTTTGAAAGTCGAAAAAGATTCCTTCGTCAATGTAACGACCTGATCGTTTTGTTGTCGAGGTTGAGGTTGAGTAGTGGATGATAATGAATGAGAATTTCGAATAACCAAACTTTCCAAATTATAAAAATTTTCAAAAAGGAGAATCCAATCTTCTTTCTTCATAATCCAAAACACTCTCGATAATTTCAAGTGTCGAAGACTATGAACCCACGAAGAAGAAGTTGTTGTTGAACGTTGTCCTGATAGTATGACCAAATGACTGATAAGTTTCTTCATCTGAAGAATAGCCATCTCTTCGTCTGAACGTGGAGAAAATTCTACATCTATTGTAATTTCCTGTGATTTATTTTCTGGGTCAAACGAGCCTGTCAATGAGGGAGAGGAGGATGAATTTAAATTGTGACCAGTGGCTCCGGGGGAGATTGACAATGATGAAGGAGTAGTGGCCGACGGTGAGAAGGATGATGATGATGAATTGGTGGAATTGATATTGTACGAAGTGAACTGAAGACTGATTCTTGACATTACAAAAGTGCCCCGGAAAGGTACGGCAATATTCTCGATGAACGTCCCGGCTTCGATTGAGATCTTTTGAATATTATACGCAGCATAAATACCATCGATTGTAGATGGGAGGATATCAGCACATGATGTTACTACACCCACGTTTGGTTGTGGTTGTAAGGCACCAGAAAGACATGTTTCAAGAGATATTTTGTTGGTAGATGGTAGAATCAACTTGTCGAGAATATCATGAATCGTCCGAGCATTAAGACACAATGTGCATTTGCGAAGAAGAGGCAATTTGATAAGATGACCGTGGGTAGTACGGTGACCCTGTTGTTGTTGTTGATGTTGATGAAGGGAGAAAACCGAGGTATGTTGAACAAGAAGACTCTGAAGAGATGTCGATCTTGGATCGGAGTATTTGAGAGAGAGTGATTCTAGATTGGGAGACGCCTCTAGTACATCCAAGAACGTCGATAAAGAATTTGGTAGAATTGAGGTACTATTGCAGTGAGAGATTGCCAAGTTGCGTAACCCATGAAGGACGAGAGGGCTCCATGGAAGTGCCACGTTTGTCAACGTAACAGACAACATAGCCCGTTGAATGGTACCTTCAGATGGGATCGGTTTATATACCAGAGGAAGCTCTCCCGGTGATGAGGGCTTGACCACTAATGTGATTGTCGGTGGTAAAGGGACAGTCAACGCTCCGAGGAAGGACGACATCTGTTCCTTGTTCAATGCAACTGCGAGTCTCCGTAAGTGATTAGAATGTCGACATAAAAAGGAATTGATGGATTCGAGTTCAGCCGGAAGAACTTGTGGCATGGAAAGCCTGAAGTTTAGAGGAGCATTTTTCGCTCTTCTAGCAAAGACTTCAGCTTGTTCCATATTTGAAGCTCTAATGTAAATCCATAAAAATGGTGATTCGTTGATAGCAATATGTCGTAACCTGGATGAGACATGGCTAGTTGATACTATCCATGACGGGACAGGACGTTGATCATATCCCAGTGAGTTAACAAATGCTCGAACGAAGTAAAAGATTTCGGAGATGATCTCTTGTGGTAGACGGAAAATGAGCGAGGTGTGAAGGTTTCGAACGTATTTTGACGAGGGAGATGATAAATCTACATCCATTTGGGACTGGCTTGGGATACTGTCCAAAGGGTCTACGTATAAGAGGTTGAGGAGAAATACTGTTGGATAGAAGCAGAAAGTCAGTTTTTTTTTTAATTGTAAAATACTACTCGAGACTGTCACCGCTTCAATCGACTATATCCCGAAGTACTATTTGGGCCTGGCAACCTGAAGTAGCTCCTTCAACCTTACTGCTTGATAGTCGTCGGTGTGCGTCCAAGTCGTGGTTATTGTTAAAGTTATGTAAAGGTACCGCGTTTGTAAAGCTGCGCTTAAATTACCGTAGTAGAGCAGAAATCTATCTCTCCCCCTCCTCCTCAGTAAGAAGCTGTAACAAGGCTTCATATACCTTGTATACGCAGACCAAGCATAGCACGCACGATACTATAATAGCAGGGACAAATATTATAGATAATACGATTGCAGAATCCAAACTATAATCGCAGACTGACGAAGAAAAGAAGTCGTACATGTACAAGAACCTATAGGTCAAGAAGCAATCGAAACGTGTGGATACTGCGACAAGGGAGAAACAATTACGAGAAGGAACTCGGGATAACGACGAACTACAAGGCGACTACTCTAATATATAATAGTATCAAGGTCAATAACGAACGTAAGGCATGAGAGTAAAGGGAGAGAGATCCGGTATAAAAGGAGAGACTAATCCAAATACGTTGTACAAGGGTATGGATATGGATGACTTGGTTGGTTGTAAAGAAAACTCTTCGATTGTGGTTGTGATTGTGCTGTCTGTGGTCTGAGTGATATGATGAAAAAAAGAGAGATGTTGTACAAAGGGGAAAAGAAAAGCATGCAAAGTCCGAAATAAATATACACAACGAAGATTAGAAAGTGAAAGAAGGGGGAATGATGGAAATGAAGGGAATGTGTTTGAGCTTTAAACCACGTTTCTTTATTCGTCGCGGCTCAGGACGGTCATTAAGCCTGGAACGCTGCGCACGTTCTCAAGGGCTACTGGTCGTTGAGGATCGGGTCGGTCAGAACGAGCAGCGTTAGCAGAATAACGAATCTATTGAGAAACATGTTGATAAGTGGCTATTGCAGGGTGGAGAGAATGCAAGATGACTCACGTAGACGCGGAAAGCACCATTGCGATGTTTTGGACCGTAAATAGTGCACACCCACCTATTGAAAGGCAATGTCAATCAAGCTACGTAGTGGCAAGGAAGATTAAGGGGAACATACTGCTCATCTACTAGTACGTTCGCGCCAATCGACTCTGCTTTTTCGTATAAAGTGGCACGTATCGCCCTGAGAAGCTTGACAACGTCTACACCATCCCTACAGTTAAAGCGTTCTTCTTCGACCACGGGTACTTTTCTGGCCGAGACGACACCTTCTGGAGCTAAGCTTGGGTGTGTACGAGGTTCATCACCAGAAGAAGATTGTATGTTGTTGGCTTTCGCTCTTTTCTGACTCCTTCCCATCTTGACGAGTAAATTGGCGACGTCAGGGAATCGCAGAACTTTCGAGGATGGTGAATGTGAATGGAACCGAGACTGGAGAGGGGAAGGAGGGGGAGTTTGTGTTGACGAAGACATTTCTGGACAGACTTGAGCGGGAATAAAAGACAGGAATGAAAAATGGGGGATTGTGGGATGAAACGAAGATGGAGGAGAGGAAACAGCGAGCGCTTTTGTTGCTAACTGAAGCGTCGTGGAAGCCACGTTAAATAATTAACGGGCCATTCCTGATCTGGATCGAGGAGCTGAAGGGAACAATGGTTTGCCCGAGAGTTTTGTTGAGGTGGCCTGCTTGTTTCCATCATCTGCGCGGAACTGTCGACCCTCAAATGTCACTGGAAAGTCAAGTCGCGGAACAAGAACAAAGTTGGGTCAAGGATTGCGACCATCCACGGGTTTTCGTGTCCAGTCTTGCCCCGTGGCAGTCTTGCCGAATATTCAGCGCAACTCTACGATTTGTCTATCACTATTATCCTTTTATCTAGTGCATAATTGTGAGTCAGTATTCTGTGTTCTTGAACTAATACAATATGTTTTATAGTTGTACAAGATCGATCGAGGTCTGTGGTTTCATAGATCGGTCCTCGAATGAGACTAACTCCTGAATCCTAAGCTATAGAGTTTTCTCCAAGGTGCCATTGTGTTCTAATCTTGGACCCTAGCAATGCTGTTCGGTATGATCATGAAACTATTCATATTCGCTCTCGGAAACAGATCATCGCCGTTGGATAGTGATGCATCGTGATGCATCAACAACCCCACAATCGCATTGTCTTTCTCCCCAGGTGGATTTGTCTAACGCCTTATCCATGAAGAAATGGAGACTGGTAGAGGACATAAGTATCGACTGCAATGCAGTATATCGCAAATAAATTCTCAAGATAGACCAGTTCGTCCATCGCAAACACTGCTCGGAACCACAATCTGAGATTCAGGCTATAGTATGACGATTTCTTTTTGAAACGTTCTACGAAAGTCAATCAAGAGGATCGTCCATCCTGTGCAGACGAGTGTTCCATGTTCAACGTTCAATGTTCGTCCTCAATCATGATCATCTTCGCGTGGATCAATAACTGACGGTTTCAGAGGTGACCTGTCGGTTTCAGCTTGTTCGCTGGCTT